GTATTGAGCTACCGTTTACGTAGACTCCATTACAATTGACTATCCGTAAATAATATATCGTCGCGAATTTACCATTTTGGTCGTTTAAAACAAACAATTTTAAGTAAAGTACAAATGAATACGCATTGTTTACATTACGGTGCGTCATTTCAGGTATGTGACAATTCGTTACAAGTAAGCTAGTGACTGATTGGCTGAAGTGTTGACACGGATTTTCCTGTCTAAAAATAGAAATATCGGTCTGAACCTACAATTTTAGCAGAGGTAAGAAGTGAACGATAGTGGAACATTCGACCGATGCGCAGGAGAGTAGTGAGTCTCAAATGATTCTAGCTGGTTAATTAACTACTCTAAAGCTTCCGGTACTGACTGCTCCTCGTCACAGTTTGTCAATGCCGGTGCACTCTGACATTCACGATGAAACCGTCCTAAATCACTATTGGCATCTGCTCCAGCAAATGGTGTTTTCTAAATTAAGAATGAAATATCTTTTTGTGAATACAGACAAACATATTTTGAAAATATACAGCAAAAATTGCCGTTCTGGCATGAATCATATGTTAACAAACGGTCGTCATGGTAACCACATGTAGCGATTACCGCGCGCGGCCCACTTTTGTTCATTTTTACAAATAGTCACTGGTTAATAATGACGTCGCATTTTAAAGTTTACCGTGAGATTTTCACCAAACTTTGCATAATTTACGAACAATATGTTGGCGTTACGTACATGACGTGATGTTAGTGTGTGACGTCATTTAGGACTTAATCGGCCATATTGTTTAGTGCGTTTGCGTTAAAATGGCATCGGCACAACGATCTTCAATAAAATTTTGTGTTTTGAACGGGTATTCAAAGAAAGAAATAATGTTAAGATTACAAAAAGCATATAGTGATCAGGCGATGAAGAAAACAGCAATGTACAGGTGGTATGCCCGATTTCTAGGCGGCCAACAAAGCATCCATGACGACAAACGCTGAGGATTTTATGAGGGCGATAAGAAAGAAGCGGACCACGAAAATCGCCGACACGATATTTCATCACGACAACGCACCGTCTCATCGTGCGGCCGAAACATAGTACACAATCAGGAAACTCGACTTCGAAGTCCTCGAGCACCCGGCCTACAGCCCTGACCTCGCACAATGCGATTTCTTTCTGTTCCCGACACTGAAGAACGTCCTGCGGGGAGAACACTTTGATGATGTGGACGAGTTGTCCTACGCGGTGCAAGGTGCAATTTCAGAGATAAATAATGGCTCTTACTTTAATAGTTTCATGTTATGGATCAACCGTTGTGAAAAGTGTGTTTCCTTTCACGGAGAGTATTTCGAGAAGGACTAGGTGCGTGTTTTGGGTGGCTCTCATACATGCGTTGAGCGTGACGTCGTTACGACGTTGGGCCGGTTTCACTGCGATTACCTAAGAAATACTTGAAATTGTACTATTAATTTTTATCCGATTTTATTGAATTTTTTTGTACGTGTTTATTATATGTTTATTTACAAAATGTAAAGAGAACGTCAATTTCCCATGAATATTAAAAATATGGCAGCACTTTTCCGCGTATTTCTTGAACAGCCATAGTATTTATATCAAAGAATGTATGAACTTTATTTTTTTTTAAAAGAAGACTGTTAAGTGATGAACAATTCATCAGATCTCATTTCAGAAAAGTAATCTTCTAAAAAAAAGATACTATTAATTGACGATGCACACTTTCATTTTGTACATTTTTACATTTACAAGTAATATGTCATCAAGTGTGACAAAGAAAGTTTCCTCTTTCTAATCATTATGAAGGAGTTTCATTTTTATTTTCAGAAAGTAAACTTGTCAGAGAAACTTTAGATAACTTACCAACTCCACCATAACAAAGTCATCTGGTGCCGACACCTCGCTACTGGTACTTGTTTTGGACTCGCTTAGTGCAGATTCTCTTGTTTCCCGTGAACTTTCAGTTTTCGAGCTAGACATGCCTTTTGATGCTTCTAACTTTGTACAATCTGTCTTGTCCTTGTCTTGTCTGTAATTTTGATTTTTTATGTATTATTTTTTTTATCTTGTGCATTAGCCGATACCAAAAAAGAACCGCGTCAAGCGTTTAAACAAGCAATCCTTATTAAGCAACTACATACACTAGACCTTGGATGTTTCACTGTTTGTTTGTTATGGTTTTACGTCACACCGACACAGAATAGGTCATTTGGCGATGTTCCAGCTTTACTGGTGGAGGAAGACCTCAGGTGCCCTTCCGTGCATTATTTCAGTCACGAACGGGCACCTGAGTAGAACCACCGATGTTCCGTAAGCTAAATTTCAAAATGCTTTAACTAAATAGCCAACACTTTCAAGTCTAGTAAGATAGATTCATTTCGGTAAAGCATACATACACACGGGCATAGAGAAGCAATTATTTCCAAGCATTCCATGGTAAAATTCTGTAAATGATTAACGTTTAGCTAGCTAGCGACAACTGAATCTACCAAAACATCATGAATGTGACCAGTGCACATTCTGTGCAATCTGATCATATTCTGCACGGTGCTTATTTTAGAATATTCCTTAAAACTGGTTTTGTTTGATTGATTGGGTTTTATATCGCACAAACACAGTTTTGGTCATATGGAATGTTGAAAACCAAAAAAAGTGGGGGGAACCCCCCGGGGGCCCTTTTCCCCCGGGGCATTTTTTCAGGCACGGACAGGCCCCCAAGTATAAACCACCCAACTTTTCCTTTTCTGTTTAACCCGGTTTTACTTTCCCCAAAAAATGATTGTATCCAAATTTTCCCTTCCCGGCTTTAAAGAAGCTACAGCCGTAAAGGGTTTTTAAAATAAAATAAACCCCTTTTGACATCCCTAAAACTGAGGGTTTTTGCCCAAAATAAAAAAATTAAAAAAGTCTATTTTTAAGAAAATTTAAAAGTGGTCTTTTTGTAAAAAAATACCTTTTAAAATTTTGACCTGCTGTAAGAGAGTTTGGGAATAGCAAAATAAATCATCCTTTTTGTTTTTTATTGTCTGTTAAAATGTTAAAAAATGCTCCAACTCTATGACAATCTTGGTATGTGAAAGGCTTTTCTGGAGCACTGTAATTGATATACATACATTTGTATACAATTAAAGAAATATTTTGATGATTATCAGAAATGTAAAAAGAAAGTAGAAAATTAATAAACAATGCATCTATGTTATTTAATTTGATTGTGGTTGATAAAATGTAAGTCTGATGAACTTAGCTTTATCACTCACCTCAATATTTAATCTTTAACATTTTGACCTTGACATATCCTTTCATGGGTCACTACAATTTGTTTTGTTTACAATATATTTTTTTAGGATTAACTAACTCATTTGGAACTTCAGTTTATTCACATATAATAGTGTGAATTGAAACTTGCAAGGTTCTAATTTATAACAAGTCTTTTTTTTCTAAATTTTTAAAAAAAATAAAAACGGGGAGAATCAGAAAAAGGGGGGTGGTTTTAAAAGTCGGCAAAAGACACAAAGTAGGGGGTCATATGAAAAAAGTTTTTCCGGGCTTTAGTAGGGAGGGAAAAGATCTCGGGGTCCCCCTTCGGGCATATGCCGGTACAGGGGAAAAAGGAACCCCCCGGGAGCTGGAAACTTTTCCTCCTTTTAAAAAAGGGAAACCCAAAAGTTTTTCGGGGCAGAAATTAAAAACTAAAAAATTTAGTGAAAACCCAAAAGTTATTTAAAAAGGTTGGAAAAAACCCTTAAAACCACTTTAGCCAAAATGAAAAAAGACAAATCAAAAGCTTATTTAGTTTTTAATTTTCAGATAAAAATGTATGTTTTATCCAAGTTTGCCCCCAATTTCCCCCAACCCTTTTTTATCTTATAACATGAAAATTATCTTGTTTGCAATTTATAGCCATAAATCATTTACCTGGTAGCTTGTAAAGAAAATTGTCTTACAAATATGCATTGTCATTGTATCTTCCCATATCTAAGGATATCTGATCAAATTTAGTGAATCTAAGAAAAATAGTCCTTAGCAGCTTCAGCTAGTTTATATACATATAGAATAGATAAATTCTTATCATAATAATGAATTCTAAACTATCATTTCAATCAATAAAACTAAGCATATATTATGTAATATTTTATTGTAAACTTGTTTTATGTATATTCTGGGGAGAAAATCTTTCTCCAATTTTGTTTTCAATTTTCCTTAATGATTTGGTTTCTTATATGTCTACATATTGTGAAGGGTTGCAGTTTTTATCAGACCAGATAAATGAACAGTTAAGTAATGATGAAGTTGATGTATTCTTGAAGTTGTACTTATTACTCTATGCTGATGATACAGTTGTTTTCGCGGAAAGTCAAACTGGCCTTCAAACAGCACTAAACTGCATGCTTGATTATTGTAAATTATGGCATTTGACTGTTAATACCGATAAGACAAAAGTTGTTGTATTTTCTCGTGGTAAATTAAGAAATAAGCCTGTATTTTATTTCAATAATGCACCTCTAGAAGCTGTAGATGATTTTAGTTATTTAGGTGTGATATTCAACTTTAATGGTAAATTTAATAAAACAAAAAAGCACTTGACAGATCAAGCGAGGAAGGCTATGTTTAGTATATTAACTAAAATTAAGAAATTGTGTTTGCCAATTGATATTCAGTTACAGTTGTTTGATAGTATGGTTAAGCCAATATTATTGTATGGGTCGGAGGTGTGGGGATCTGAAAATAATTCTATTTGAAATTTTATAAATATATACTTAAACTTAAGATGTCAACTCCTTCGGTTATGGTTTTGGGAGAACTAGGTGCATTTCCTATTGAAAATGATATTACTTGCAGAATGTTAAATTTTTGGAGTAAATTAGTTAATGGTAAAAATGATAAAATATGTGCTTCTTTGTACCGCACTATGTATAATCTTCATGAAAAGGGTATTTTACATTGTCAGTGGATCGAGAAAGTAAAATCTACTTTGAATAATCTTGGTTGTTCTGATTTTTGGATAACTCAGAATGTTGCAAATTTTAATAATTTTAAATATGTAATAAAATCACGATTACGTGATCAGTTTTTACAAGTATGGAATAGTGATGTTTTTGATTCTGCTAAGTGTTTAAACTATAGAATATATAAAACTCAATTTAAATTAGAACATTATTTACTATGTTTACCAAGAAATTTAGCAATTGCTCTCTGTAAATTTAGATGTCTCAATTCTAATATTCCTATAGAGAAAGGTCGCTATTTTGGTATTGAAAGAGAAAATAGAACATGCTCACTTTGTAATCAGCAAGAAATAGGTGATGAATTTCATTATATTTTTAAATGTACTTATTTTAATCATGAAAGACACAGGTATATCAGTAACTATTATTCAAGGTTTCCTAGTATTTTAAATTTTCAGGCTCTTATGTGTAGCGACAACAGAAATACTTTATTTAATCTAGCCATTTTTGTCAAAGCTATAATGCTGAAATTTCAATAAGTCATCTTCCTTATTTACTTATTTACTTCATGCCATGTTTGTATTATTATTATTTGTTTTGTTGATTGTTCACTCTTATGCCCTTAAGGGCCATGAGTTTTGTTTATAAATAAAAAAAAATGAAAAGTTTGTAAGCAGGTGTAACTCTAGAAACATTTAATAATGATTTTAATGCTATGCTCATCCTAGAATAACCTTTCTGTGACATTTTAGCACCAATATCACACTGATTTATATCCAGACTTATGTACCAAAGTTCAAGCACCATCCTATCACCATTGGCAGTCCTAAGTGATAATTTCACACAGACATTTTGTGCAAGTGTTGACGTATGATTTGACACAACTTTTTTGGTTTCTGTGTGAACTTCATTATTGTTTGTAATTGCTTTGTTAAATCATAATAAACAGTCCAATTTCTATATCATATATCTCCTTTTTTAAAATAATTACAAGATTTAAAATTTCTCACAAATACTCTGTATAATTTGATATATATGAAGCAGTAAATTTCAAATATGTCTTCGACATTGGCCGGAAAACTATATTTAGATATTAAATTGTCTCTATACTGCTGATTTTTTCAACAAAACGTTTTTGAAGAAAAATCTTAACCTATTGGTAACCATGTCGTCTGCTGCGTTTGTTGGTCATTATTGTCTTATTTCTTAATGTTTTATTCATACTTGGACACAACAGCCCTTTGGACAAGACCTTTACGAGGACTAGATTAAAGTGATCTTGACTCATAAATGACATTACCTTTGTTGTAAAGTTTACTTTTCTGACATAATTGGCTATTACTGTGTTACTTACTTTTTAATTGCTTTCATACTGGGACACATCTGTCCGTTAGACAAGATCTTAAAGGAAACAAAATTCACCGTGACCTTTACTCACTTATGACCTTGACATTGAAAGTCAAATTATTGAAATTTGCTTGGTTTTTGCTATAATTGTAATTGGCTATAAATTTGGGTGTTGTTGAATGGAATGTTTTTATACAAGAGTATAAATACCTTATGGACAATGTTTAGAGAATAACAAGTACAATTTAACTTTCATTCATAATGCAGGTCGACATATTGTAATTCCACAGTTTTCTTTTTAAAATTGGCTATAACTTTGTAACTTTGTAAGTAATGGAAGTTTTTTTATACATGAGAATAGAGATGCAACGATTCGCCGACTGGTCGATTTGATCAGATTAACTGCGTTAAGATTATATTCGATCCGATTTATGTCTGCTTTAGTAAGCAATTCTGTTTTTTTGGTCTTCAAAGTGAGTGGGCCTTAACATATTTTTGAGTTGTATATCCATTATCTCAACTTACTTGACATTTTATTATTTAGGACATTAAATGGTTTATGTGGAAAACAATTTTAATTAAACAAACTATCACAGTAATATGTCATACAGACCTGACTTTTATGAACTAAAACTAAAACTAGGCTTTTTAAACACATCAACATCAGTGCTTACTTTTCAGGTGTTGCATCAAGTTAGTTGTAATTGCTGATTTCCCGCAAAATATATTTTACATT